CGATGGTGGGGCTGGGGAGGGGTGTGTGGTGGCGCTCGTGTGCGCGGGGAGCGCTGGTGCAGGGGAGGTGGCGGGTGGGGGAGCGGCAGGGGCGACATCTGGAGCAATGTGAGCACGCAGCGCCCTGCGCCCCACTCTTGACCAGTGTGCATGGACGCAGATGCCAGCCCACCCCGCTCTCCAGCCCACCTGTCGTGCGCTGCCGCAGCCGCGCCCTCGGGCCCGCCCCAAGCGCGGCCCCATGTGCCTGCCCCTGTGCAGAACACGCGCATCATCCGGGCCCTGAATGTCAAGGGCAACCAGAAGTGTTTCTCAAACCCCAACTACCCCTGCAAGGCTGCCAACCCGCCTTACAAGTACAGGATCAAGCTGACATGTGAGCGAGGCGCTGCCAGTTGCGCACGCCTGGGTGCGCTGCAACATATGCAGTCTTGGGCCATCTGTGTGCAGGATGCACGCCTCCCACCAATCGTAGCCTGCTGAACTGGCCCGTCTCGTCGCCCACCTGCCTGCAGCGCACCCATGCGTGCCCGGCCATACACATGCCGCGCACGAGGTGCGGTCTCGAGGCAGCCTGCCCATGGCCCAAGGGGGCATGGCTGTGCAGCCCTTGCCATATGTAAACCCCTACCGCGAGAAGGCCTTCTTCCTGGAAGGTGGGTGCCCCACCAGGCTAGGCGCCAGCGCCCAGCTGTCAAAAGTCAGCACCCCGCATTGCTCCGCTGCAGGACGAGGTTTGGGGGGCTGCGCGGTGGGCTGGTTTGTGCTGTGCCAACCTCTGCCGCCTGCCTGCACGCAGGCCTGCGCAAGGTCAAGTGGCAGGTCAGTGCCAGGCGGCAGTTGCTGGTGTTCATTGCACCCCTGAACGTGACGCTCAACGTGTGCAAGCCGCCCCGCACCTGTGAGCCGAGCCGCCTGCCTACCCGCCGCCGCACAAATCTGCCTGCCGGTTCAGTTGTGCTCCCACGCCATGCTGTTCTGCTCTTCCCTTTGCTGCTGACCCACACAGAGGCATAAACGCACAGGGACATATCGTGCGCACAGGAACATAAACGTTCTTGACCATGCCCTGCGCTGGTGCAGACTGTGACTACGCTGGCGCGCTGGGTGTCTACCTCCCAACCGTGTGCTACAACCACCTCTGCTATGGCGAGTGGAACCTGAACCCAAAGAACAAGTGAGTTGCCGCCATGTCGTCTGCCTCGTGCCGCCAGCCAGCAGCCATCACGGCATGCCCATCTGTGTGTCTGGCCCTTGGAAGCTTCACTGCTGGATGCGAGAGCGCACCTCCACCCCACCCTGCCCCACCCTCCACCATGTGCAGCGACACGCTGCTGATCACCTACCCACAATGGAGTGCCACGCCCAACATCAAACCTGACGAAACCTGGCCACAGAAAGTGGAGTTTGATATCACCGGTGCGTTGTCCTCTGCCATGCGCCGGTGCCGATCCTTTGCCCTGTTCTGTTGCTGGGGGCTCGGGGGCATCCCTGTGGACGCTGAGCTTGCACACGAGGTGTGATGCTGGCGGCGTGTCGTGCTGCCCCCCCTTGTGGTGCAGGCTACCATTAATCCTGTGCTGTGGTCTCCTTCAATCATAATTTTGGCCGCCCTTTTTCCTGCCTCTCACCAATATGTGTGCCTTTCAACATCTGCAACTGATGCATCACTTCATCGCAGCACAGCAGCGGTGCTCCGAGGCAGCACAGCAGGCATGGGCGGACGTGCAGGTCGAGCCTTTCACCGTAGCCGGTCTGCAGACTCAGGTTGAGAGCTCTTCATTTCCTGCCGACGGTTGTGTTTCGGCTCCTAAGAGGTTAAATGGGCTGCTAGAGCCGCTAGGGTCGCAGGACTGGCTCCCAATGCGCTGCGGCCGCTGCCGCCGCCGCCGCCGCCGCAACGTGCAGTACGACGACGAAGTCTCCAGTCAATGCCTCTGCTGCACCTCTTTGGAGTTCCGTTGCAAATTGAGTTGAAAGGGACACTGCAATTGGATGCCGTCCGAGTTTGCCGTCATATCTAGCTGCGCTGCTGCGTGAAGCAGCGCACGGAGCTGAGTGGGACGCTCACGCAGGCATCAGCCGGAATCCCCCAGGCCCTCCCATCTTCCACACAATGTCTCCCTCCTCCCTGTTAGCGGCCCTGTGCGTGCTGCTGGTGTTACGGGCACTGCCCTCCACCAGCGGCTCGCGCCTGCACTTGCACACCCCCAAGTTGAAGGCTCTAACATGTGGGGGTGCTGTGGCGGGGAGATACCTGGGGGGAGGCCGCGTCGCGAATCCTGCTGGTCAGGAGACGCACTGCGCTAGAGGAAATCCTCTCGCTGTCCGAGCCTGGTGCAGCTGTGCGCAGCCGTTTGTCGTCTAGCTGCAGCGGCGGCGCCGGCGCCGGCCTGGAGAGAGCTGCCGGGCGTCCCGCTCCGTCCTCCCGCCGGGGCACACACTGAGTGTGCGTCCGAGGCTCCCCCCCCCCACATACATCCATGGTGTCCACCATTTCTCGCCCAATCCTGCAGGCCGAGCAAAGATCGTCACTTCAGACGTCCTAGGGGAGCGCAAAGCCAAGAGGTCAGCCCAGGAGGTCGTGTTCACTGCGTGTGTCCCGTCGCCGCAGACGCGCGAGTCACATCCGCCCCGCCCTGCCTGCCCCGTGCGCGCCGCTGCAGGTGGCTGGAGGTGAGGACCGGCTTCAATGAGCGGGTCCTGGTGCTGGAGACCAAGCCCGGCGACTTTGGCGGCATCCGGTCGGGGCAGGAGGTGGAGATGGAGGGGGTGTGGCTGAGCCGCGGCGCAGGCGGGTGGCGCGCGGTCAGCGGCTTCACCAGCGCACAGTCCAGCTACACCTTTGTCAGCACCAAGATCAAGGCCAAGAAGGGAGGGACCAAGATGGCGGCGACCGCCGCCACAGTGGACACGGTGCAGGTGGCAGGTGAGGCGCCGCAGCCGGCTGCGCGGTTGAGCCTGTGCTGCGCCGATGACATGCAGCAGAAGGGAGCAGCTACGCTGATGTGTGTTGAGCCTGTGCTATACGCCGATCAGCTGCACCCCGCCGCGCCTCACCCCTCGCGCCCGGCCCTGCAGCTGACCGGCCGATTGGGGAGCCGCACGGCGGCGGCATGGTGGCGGCGGCCGCCACCGCCCCCGCCCCCATCCCCGTCAAGATTGTCACCAACAAGATCTTCTCCCGCTCCATCTCCACCATCGTCATCCCACGTAAGCTTTTCTATTAGTATCTCTCGCTCCACCCTCTGCCAACAAGCTCTGCTCGCCAACCCTCTCATCCTGCCCGTGCCGTCCTCCCTTCCCACCCCCGCCCCCACCCAACCGCCGCCACCCGCGCCTGCAGTTGCGGGCGTGAACCCCGACGGCACCGCCTGCACGGGCACCTCGCTACCCAAGTGGGACTCCGCCGCGGTGCGCCGAATGGTGTTCCAGGAGCTGAGTGGCGCCAACATCTCGGTGGGCACCACCTTCAACAAGTGCTCCTTCAAGCGATCCGTCCTCAACATCACAAACAGCATGTGAGGCCCGGGCCGCAGGCGCGCGCAGGGCGGCGCTGCCTGGCGGATGCATGCGCAGCGCAGCGGGGCGGGGCGGCTTGGTGGAGGAGCATGGGCACGGCGAGCGCGGCGCCGATGCGTGCATGTGGCGGGGCGCACGGGCTGACCGCGCGCCAACGCTCGCGCCGCGGCTGCAGGGTGACGGAAATCGTCAAGCTGCCGTGCGTGGGGGAGAGGTGCGCCCGCGCCGCGTGCATGCGGCTTCTGCCTGCGCTGCGGACTCCCCCTCCCAGCCTCCTCCCTGGCAGGAGCAGCCTCCACAAGGCCTATTTGGCCTCGGCATGCCGCCCACCCCGCCCCGCTCACCTGCCCACCACTTGTGCCATCGTTTCCTCCCCCTTCCTGCAGCTGGGGCGTGCCCTGGTCCTTCTCTAAGTGCGATTTCGACGACTTCAACGGCTGGGCGGATGCGGCCGACGCGCAGCTGCGCGCCAGCGGCTTACCGTTGGACAAGTACCCGTACCGCGTGTACATGCTGCCCCCTGCCACCTGCCCCTTTGTGGGCCTGGGATACGTGGGCTGCGACTTCTCCTACGACTGCCGCTCCTGGATCAGCGGCGACTTCTGGGGTGGGTGTGGCGGCCGGCGGCTGGGGGAGGGGGCGGGGGCGGGGTGCAGGGGTGGCCGCCGCGGCAGGCTCGTGCCTACCTGCCTGTCTGCCTGCCCACCTGCCTGCCCGCCTGCCTGCCTGCTCATCGACTGTAGCGCCCCCCTCCCGCTGCTGCTGCGTGCAGCCACGCCTCAGGTCGTGGTCCACGAAATGTCTCACAACCTGTTCCTGGGCCACGCCGGCGCCTACACGCCAGACGGCAGCTTTGATGAGTGAGTGCGACGGGCTGCCGACTGTATGCATGGACGCTGTGTGCATCTGCCTGCCTGGCTGGGTGGTGCCTGCAGCGGGCCTGCCGGTGTGGTGCCGACCCTCAATGAGCCCCGCCCGGCCCCGCCCCCTCCTGCGCCTGCCCCCCCTGCAGGTATGCCGACAGCGGGTGCCTCATGGGTGAGCAAAGCCCCGGGAGCGCCGGCGGGCAAAGCAGCCGGCAGCGGGCTGCAGGGAGCAAACAGGCTGCACAGGAGGGGGAGGGGAGGCATGCAGCCTCTGCATGCAGCCTCAGGCTCCCGCCGTGCCCCGCCACGCGCCCCTGCCTGGGCTGACCTGCCGCCGCCGCCGCCGCCGCCGCCGCTGCTGCAGGGTACTGCTGCCACGACCGCTGCCCCAACCTGCCCCACTCCTGGCAGCTGGGCTGGCAGACGGTGAAGCAGCTGGACGAGCTCAGCCTGAGGGCGGGCCAGACTGTGGCCTTCAACATCAGCGCCCAGGACGCCTCCCCGCAGAGCGGGCTGCGCCTCAACGCCAGCTGGGCGCGCGGCGGCGGCGACCCCGTGTTTGTCAGCTTCCGCAGGCGCTCCGCCGGCTCCCCAGACAAGAGCCTGGACCTTTCTTTGACAGGCAAGGTGCTGGTGCACACCTCCCCGCTGGCCAACACGTTCGACGCCGCCTTCACAACCTTCCGCGCCGCGCTGTCGGGTGAGGAAGGACGCAGCGCGGGCCCGCAGCCTGGCAGCCTGCCTGCCTGCGCCTGCTGCTCGCACAGCCCGGCACGCCCCTGCCGCGCCGCATTCCGCAGGATGCTGCACCGCCCTCACCCCCACCCCGCCCACCCCGCCTGCTCGCCGCAGTGGGTCAGACCTGGACAGGCGTGGCGGGCGGCACCGCCAAATTCGTGCTCAAGTACAGGCGCAGCCTGGGCGGCGGCGGCAGCGCCGAGGTCACCATCTGCCGCAAGTCGCCCAATGGCCTTGAGACCAAGGCCTCGTGCACTGCCGGCCTGAACTACGACTGCAACGGCTTGATCGGCACGGCAGACACGGCGTGCCGCAAGCTGCTGGGGCTGAGGCCCCGGCGGCGCAGCCTGCTAGCCGATGACCCGGCCGGCACGTGGGCAGCGGCGGCAGCAGCAAGCGAGCAGGGGCAAGCCAGCCAGCGGGCGGCCGACTGCGTGGGATTCTAGAGGCCCGCGGAGGCCTCGATGTACCGTTACTGAGCTCCCCTCCACTGCCACTCTTCCCTCCACACTTTTCCATTACCACATCAGTATCGCCTCCAGCCGCCAGTTTCCATTCCAGGCAGCAATTCTTTGAACAAATTCCTTTGTTTCGAGGCGGATGCATCCCCTCAATGCATGTCCTCTACACCATGCCTCTGTCCCACGCATGCAACCGGACTGGCAGAGTCGCCCCCAGCTGCTGCGCGAGGTTCAGGCAGGTGGAGGATGAGGGTTGCAATTACAGGTGCACGAATGGGCCCACCCACGCGCCGGGGTCGACGATGGGGCAAGGCGCCGCCTACATGCGCAGGATCGCCAGCTGCTCCCTCTGCGTCATGCTGGCGCCGCCGCCGCTGCCGGCATCAAAGCCGGTGTGCATGCGCCACATGGCCACCATCAGGCCGCCGCACACGATGGCGGCAGCGCCCAGCATGCTGCTGCCGGCGGGCGGGTGGTGAAACAAAAAGTAGTCGGCGGCCAGGCTCCACACAACTGCAGGGGCCAGCAAGCGGCACACCGTCTGGCGCGGCGTCGGTGTTGCGGGAGAAGGGCACTGCCGCTGGCTGGCTGCCCGCCATCCCGCCACGGCAACACCACCACTCCCCCCCTCCCGCCAGGCTCCCATGCGCCGGTAAGAGCACTCCCCCCATGGGCAATGCCCAGCCCAGCAACGCACTGCTGAGGTAGGTGAGGGAGGAGGCGGTGGAGACGGGCACGCGCTGCAGGCCCGCCGTCATCGTCAGCTGGTGCAGGTAGCCGACCACGCCCACCGCCGCCAGCAGCCACCACTGCGACGCCTGCGCGGGCAGCACGAAGCTGCGCTGCAGGAGGCACACCAGGCCCGCGCCCAGCGCGCTGACCAGGCCGGCCGACAGCACGATGACGCCCGCCACGTGGCGGCTGGTGGTGCCGATGCCCAGCGAGCGAACAGTGATCTTGGCGCCCGCCGCCGTCGCCGCGTGGCCTAGCGCCGCCGCCACGCCCAGCCCGCTGGGCCTGTCCGCCGCGCGGTGCAGCTCGCTGCCCGGCAGCAGCATGCCCAGGGAGGGCGGGTGCGCCACCACTAGCGCACCCACGGCCGCCAGGGCCAGCGCCGCCAGCACGCTGCGGGGCGGCCGCTCGTGCAGCAGCGGCGGCGACAGCGCCGCCACCAGCACGGGCGCCAGGAAGGCCAGCGCTATGGCCACGGACAGAGGCAGCAGCCGCACGGCGCAGTAGATCAGCGCCACCGAGCAGAAGCCCAGGCATCCCCGCACAAACAGCAAGTCGTGCCTGCGGGTGCAATGGGGCGGGGCTGCCTCAGCGGGCGACCGTGGAGGCTGCAGCCAAAGCTGGGGTGCTGGTAGGGGGCGGTGCCCACCGCTCCCCCTGCATTCCCTGCATTCCCCCCTCCCGCCCCTCCCAAACACCTTTCGGCAATCAGCTTGCGGGCGGCTGGGTGGCGCAGGTGCGGCAGGCACACTGCCACCAGCACGCAGCTGCGCACGAGCACGAGCTGCATGGCGGGCATGCCGCCGACGCCTGCGGTGCATGGGGCAGGCGGAGATTGGTGCGGGTGGGGCGCAGCTCAAAGGGGCAGCGCCCTGCCACCTCCTGCTCCCCGCCCTGCGCCTCACCGCCCAGCAGCTTCACGATGACAGAGGTGGAGGCGCCGGCAATGGTGCTGAGGGAGTAGAGGAACAGGCCCCACATGTACGTGTTTGAAGGGCTGTTGGGGCCGGCATCACCCTGTGCTGCCTGCAAGCAGCAAGCAGTGTTACAAAACCTAGATCCGCTTGACCACCTGCACTTAACCCGCCAGCACACTCGGCACGCAGGTCGGAGTGGCGCCGCCGCCACCCGCCCGTCACTCCCAGCCGCTGCACACCTGCGCTGCTGCAGCTTGCCGCCGGGTCTTCATGTCAGCTGGTGGTTGGTTTGACGCCTGTTTCAAGTTGCAAACGGCGGGGCGGGGTGGGTAGGTGGGGCTCAACAACCTTCCTGCTTGAAAGCAGCGCTGCTCTTTTTCGAGAAACCCGGCGATCAGAAGGCCGTCTAAAGGGCAAGGTGGGGGATGGGGGGGCCTGCGAACGCTCTACCGCCGTCCACCGAGCGAGGGCTCAACAGCGGTGCCGTGAAGTCAGCTGTGGTTCCAATCGC